AGAAACGGCTCGGTCGATCGTCGCGTAAAACTGATATACGCTAATCCTCATCGAGATGCATCGAATAATTTAAATTTTAAATTTTAAATTATTGAAATCGATGCAGCCGTTTTTGAAAAAACTTCAATTTACGGTGCAAAATCTGTTCACGCACACCCAAACGCAAATACTTTCTCTAAATTTGGTCTCATTCGATTCAGAATGGCTTGAAACGTCGAGAAAAAAATAAAATTAGCGAATCGAATTTTTTGATGAAAACATAAACTTCTTCTTCGGGAAGTTAAAAATGACATTTGGCGATGAAAAATGATTATTAGACATAGCACATTATCAGATATTATAATTATCAGATATTTTATAGAGATTTTTATAATAAGTACAAATTTTGTTTATATTTCTATGGGTTCCTCACCAAGTTTTACCCGTTAGCAGTGGCGTCGGAACCGTGTGGGCTGTGTGGTCTTGAGCCCACCAATCAATTTCAAAAAACTATTATATGGGCTTATATCTCTAAAAAAACCAACCCACTGGCTGTCTATCAAAAAAAAAAAAAAAAAGAGCCCACCCATCAAAAATTTGGTTCCAACGCCACTGCCCGTTAGTCTATGACGCAACGCTTACGCGTTTCTAAAACAGCTACGCAGCGCGATTGCTTTGAAATATCAATTAATTAAACATTTATTTTTTTTTAATTATTGGAATAGTCTTGTTTTTACAAAAATCTTATTTTTTCAAAATTTTCAAAATATTTTAAATTTTTAATTTAATACGGGAAGTTCCAGCAACTTGTCTTAAGGCACGACGCCATGCCCAAGTAGTTTCAACCAAAAACGATACCACTGGAATGCTGTGCTCTTTAATAATCGCATAGCGCCATCTACATTGATATTGTCCGAACTAAAATAGGAAGCAAGGAAGCACACCCGTACAAGCGGGCTATTCAAAACTCAAGCAGCTGCATCCAACGTGCGGTCCTAACCAAACAGGTGATGGTAATGGCCCTTAATGGGTTCCACCAATGGGACAAGATTTAAAATTATGTTAAAAATAAACAAATTTCTATAATTAGGAGTTCACTGGAAGTTTGATACGTGTGTTGATATATGTGTTGTCATATAATTCATTAAGATTAGACAGGATAATTACTGATTGTCAATCTGGACCTTTGTGCCCCACCCTACCTACCTTCAAAAATTCTTCGCAAAAGTTCAGATATGTATTCATAAAAAATGCAATTTAACAAACTTTGCGAAATTAGTTTGGTGGTTGTTCTATTTGATTTCTAATCTCTTTTTATATTCAATTTGTTTTTGAACATATTGCATAGTTATAATATTGCAGCAGAAGCTTATGCCTAAAGTTTTAATCCATTTATTCTTAACTTCCCGTAGGGCAAGTTATAGTAATCGCAAAAAAATCGAAAATGAAATTTTTTATATATCTTTACGTTTCAAACCCTTCTGAACATTTTGGCTTGTATGTGTGTGATGTTCGGATACAAATTTTCGTCGACGATTTCGGGAACAAGGATCAACCGATTTGAATAATTCTAAAAACATTCGATTTGTATTGATAAAGAGACGTGCTGATTAGTTTGTGGCGAAGGCAGGTCTAGCCGTTCCGAAAATAAGCGGCAAAAAGTGCCGAAAACGGTAACTCAGTTTTTAAGAGAACGGAGCGTCCGATTTTAATAACTCTAAAAACATTTTACTTGTATTGACAAGATGAAAATTGATCAAATTTTCATGAGGGCAGGTCCAGCCCTCATGGCCCTAAGCCCTTAGACTTAGAAAAAAGTAAAAAAAAAATGCCATTTGGCGGTCAAAAATGATCATTAGACATATGCACATCAAATTATCAGATATTTTATTGAGATTTTAACAATAAGTATAATTTTTGTTCACATTCCTACGGGTTCCGTACCAATGTTTACCCGTTAGACAGCAACGCGACGCTTACGCGCTTTATATTTTGTCTGTATGCAGTTAAAACAGTACGATTACTTTGAAAAAAGTTCAAATCTTCCAAAATATGTCAAAATAAAGAAAACATTTTTTTTCAAAAAACGAAAATTTTTTTTTTTAAAAAAGTTTTTTCAAAAAAAGGAAATTTTTGTCAATTTATAGTTCCTTAAAAATCTAATTTTTTCGAAGTAAATTTTTTTCAAAGATGTTATTCGTTTTTAAAAAAATAATAATTTTTGATACGGGAAGTTCAAGCAATTTACCTTAAGGCACGATGCCATGCGCCCCACTAGTTTAATATAGTAATATAACATTATAATATATTAATTATTATAATTATTAAAGTTACAAGAAGATAGGTGTAAGTAACATGAAAATACTTCACAACATGACTACATGAATGACTTCATCAATAAGAAATCATTATATTAATTTATTAGTGATTTTTAAGTATACCGAGTTGCTGTAAAACACTATTATGTGAGAAACTGTTGAAGATTACTCAATTTATACAAATTTTCCAAACATGTTTGTTATTGGTTTGAATATTGCTGAAAAACAAACTCGCGCCTAATATATACACAAAGTATTTTCTAAAAAAGCGACCGATTATTCCAAACTTCAATTAATTTTTATAATTAAACTGCTTGTCGTCGAATACAAAAAAAATATTTTTGAACCATTCAATTCGAACGCTCCGTTCTCTCTAAAACTGAATGGCCATTTTTGTTTTTTTATTCCGTGTCCTGGAAACGTCTGAACCATTTATACTTATTTATCTATGGTCTGAACCTTCCTTTGCCAAACACTAATCATCATGACTCCTTATCAATACGAATCTATTGTTTTTTGAATCATTCAAATCTATTTATCTATCTAATATTAAAATTCGCGCATGCATACACACACACATACATGTATTTTTTTCTGCCAAAATGTTCAAAAACCTCTGAAATGTAAATTTATATATAAAATTTTCAATTTCGATTTTTTTGCAATCACTGTAACTTAACTTACGTAAAATTATTTTTTTTTAAATTTATCAAAATTGGATAAACTGCAATAGTTTTTACATTTTTATGCTACAGCAAGTCGGTATACTCACAAATTAATCGATTAATCGAATCGAATCATTTTTGATCGACACATTTTTGATGTTTTGACGGCTCTACAAGATTAAGATGTTAACAACTCTGCAATTCGTTATTCTAACTCGCGTTTTGGAACTAACTTTTTGGATCCTAATATAATTCTCTATATTGAAATTTACAGTAGGAAAAAATCGGATGGAGTGACAGGAATTGCCGAAAGGATAGATGATGTAAACCTGAATTTTTGGAGGGCCTTCGTGCATGACACGAAGCCCCTATAAAATTGATTAATTATTATATAAAAAATATTGAACTTTCCGTAGGGTAAGTTATAGTAATTGCAAAAAATCGAAAATGAATATTTTTATATATCTACACGTTTCAAAAGTTTCTGAATATTTTGGCATACTTAAAAAAATAATGTTTGTATGTGTGTGTATGTGTGCGCGTGTGTATGTGTGTCTGTATGCGGATACACCGTCGACGATTTTGCGAACACAGATTAACCGATTTGAATAATTAGAAAAACTTGCGATCACTACTGATAAGGAGACGTGCTGATTAGTTTTTGGCAAAGGCGCGTTTTGGAGATACGGTGCAAAAAGTGCCAAAAATTGTATTTCCAAAAATTTAATCAATTTTTTATTTTGTCAATATAAGCAAAATGGTTTTTGAATCATTCAAATCGGACGCTCCGTTCTCTCAAAAACTGAATTACTGTTTTTGGCACTTTTTGCTCCGTATTATCGAAACGGCGGCCAAAGGCCAAAAACTAATCAGCACGCCCAGTGGCGTCAGAAGCAAATTTGTCATGGGTGGGCTCGTTTTTTTTTTAAACAGCCAGTGCGAGCTTGTTCTTTTTTATTTAGACATTTGAGGCCATATGATATTTTTGAGATTGATGGGTGGGCTCAAGCCCACACAGCCCACACGGTTCCGACGTCACTGAGCACGTCTCCTTATCAGTAGGAATCGAATGTTTTTTTCATTATTCAAATCGGTTAATCTGTGTTCGCCAAATCGTCGATGAAAATTTGTATCACACACACACACGCGAACACGCATTTTTTCTGATTGTGAGGTATGCCAAAATGTTCAGAAACCTTTAAAACGTAAAGATATGCTAAAATTTTCATTTTCGATTTTTTTGCGATTACTATAACTTACCCTACGGGAAGTTAAAAATAAAACTAACAGTTTTAACCGGTTTTCCTGACAAAAAAAATAAATGTCTCATTTGTGAAGTTAATTAGAATATCTTATATAATATTTTATAAGTATTATTGGGGCCTCGTGTCAAGCACGAGTGGCCCTCCAAAAATTCTGTCGATCCTCCGACAATTCATGCCAATCCATCCAACTTTGCCTACTGTAAGTTTTAATCTAGAGAATTATATTAGATCCGCGCAATACTTTAAAACGCGAGTTACAATAACGAATTGCAGAGTTGTTAACATCTTAAGATTGTAGAGCTGTCCAGATATCAAAAATATGTCGATCAAAAATGATCGACTTAATTAACAAGAAATCAATATGTTAATTAGTGATTTACTTGAGTCCTCTAAAAGTATATCGAGTTGTTGTGGCACCAGAATGTAAAAAACTATTGCAGTTTATTCAGTTTTGATAAGTTTTCCAAAAATAACTTTTAAGGGTAAGTTATAGTGATCGCAAAAGAATCGAAAATGAAAATGTTTATATATCTTTACGTTTCAAAACCTTCTGAATATTTTGGCATACATTAGAAAACATGGATCAATATGTGTATCCGCACACATTCACACACATACATTCATTTTTTCTAAAGTATGCCAAAATGATCAGAAACCTCTGAAACGTAAAGATATATAAAAAAAATTATTTTCGATTTTTTGCGATTACTATAACTTACCCTGCGGGAAGTTAAAAAAAAAATATGTAGGTAGTAGGAAATATTAAAACTTACCTTGGTATACCATATTTCACAAGTTAAGTAAGAATAACAAAACCAAGGTGATACACTCGAAAAATCTGCAAACATAAGTTTTATCATTTATTTAATAAATTCTCTTTAAAATATGATTTTTTTTTTTAAATTAATTGCTTTAAATGTATATAAAAACTGCACAATATATATAGAATTAATTTTTAATTTTCTTTAGGGTAAGTTATATTAATCGCAGAAAGATCAACAATGAACATTTTTGCGTATCTTTCTGAACATTTTAAAACTTTATAATTAGAAAAAATCAATATATGCGTGTGCGTGTGTGTGTTCGGATACTAATTTTCGTCGACGATTTTGTGAACACGTATCAACCGCTTTGAATAATTAAAAAAAATAATAATTCAGTTTTTGAGAGAACGGAGCGTCCAATTTGAATGATTCAAGAAACACTATTTGTATTGACGAAACAAAGAACCTAATAAATATTTGCGAATGTCTAGCGGTTTTGGAGATCCGATAAAAGTTAAAAAAGGCATTTGGCTGTCAAAAACGATCTTTAGCCATATGCACTTTTGATTTTTATAAGAACAAATTTTGTTTACATTTTATAGGTTTCGTATCAATGTTTATCCGTTAGACTATGACGTGGCGCTTACGCGCTTCGATATTTCATCAATGTGCAGTTAACGCAGCACGGCTGCTTTAAAAAAAAGCAAAGCAAATAGCATTTTAGCTTAAAGCAAATTGCATGAACTTCCCAAAATGTGGAAATAATATAATAAATCATTAAGAATCAAGGTTTAGTTATTTAACCCTTTTCCCTAGGCATTGATTTAAAAACAATCTATGCATTTACTAGTACTAGCAACTGGGCGCCGCATCTGACGAAGACGTACGATATTATTGTGTACGTTATGCAATTCGTTTTGTGCGTATGCGTTTTTTGCGTTTTTTGCGTTTTGTGCGTGCAGAAGCACATACATTTACAATAATATCTAAATTTATTTTCTGCAGTATGTTAAAGTTGAAATCAATTTTCAAAAGGCATAGCGGGTCGATTCTAGTTTTTCATTTACTTAAAATTGTAATATATCGTATTTTATGTCTTTTTATTATGAAAATTTTGCTTTACTTGCTTTTATTGCTCGGTCGTTTTACCGTGTTTATAAAAAAAATTACTAAAAAAAAGTGAAAAAAAAAACACTTTAAAAATAGTAAATTTTGAAAAGAGAACACACTGTCATATCACTATAAAGATTTGTTGTAAGAATGAGTAATTTTTTTAACTCACAAGCCGCAGTTAATTTTTAAAATTAATTATTTTTATTTAATTTCATATATATGAACATTATAATATACATTTATAACAAACTAAATAAAAAGAAAGGGACAGATTATAAATAATTTATTGGTGGAAGAAAGTTGACGAGTAAATAAAACTTTAATTTAGAAATGTTTGGTTGGACGCAGAAAAATATGTATTCAAAAGGCCGCATAAACCACGCGGGCCGCGGATTGCTCACCCTTGATCTATTTGACGCTTTAATACAAACTGAGTCATTATGTATACAAACAGCCGGGTGCCTCGGAGAAGTCAGGTGAGGGCAGACAGATTTAAGTTGTACCCAGACAATATAATAATGAGTTGTCCCCCAAGGGACAGCGGAGTAAAAAGGGTATAATAACATTATTAACTTCCCGTAGGGCAAGTTATAGTAATCGCAAAAAAATCGAAAATGAAAATTTTTATAAATCTTTACGTTTCAAAGGTTTCTGAACATTTTGGCATACCTTAGAAAAAATGGATGTATGTGTGTGTATGTGTGTGTGTGTGGTGTGTGTGTGTGTGTGTGTGTGTATGTATGTACGTGTGTGTATGTATGTGCGGATACAAATTTTCGTCGACGATTTCGGGAACACGGATCAACCGATTTGAATAATTCAAAAAACATTCGATCCGTATTGATAAGGAGACGTGCTGATTAGTTTTTGGCGAAGGACTGTCTAGCCGTTCCGAAGATACGGGGCAAAAAGTGCCGAAAACGGTAAACTCAGTTTTTAAGAGAACGGAGCGTCCGATTTAATAATTCAAAAACATTTTACTTGTATTGACAAGGTGAAGAACCGATCGAATTTTTATAAAGGCAGGTCTAGCGGTTCGGAGATCTAATGAAAAAAGTAAAAAAAAAAAATGCCATTTGGCGGTCAAAAATGATCATTAGACATATGCACATCAAATTATCAGATATTTATAGAGATTTTAACAATAAGTATAATTTTGGTTTACGTTCCTATGGGTTCCGTACCAATGTACGCGTTAGACGTCGACGCGGCGCTTACGCGGTTTTGATATTTCGTCTTTATGCAGTTAAAGCAGTACGATTGCATTGAAAAAAAGTTTAGATCTTTCAAAATATGTGTTAAAATAAAGAAAACATTTTTTTTCAAAAAAAAAAAAAAAAAAAAATTAAAAAAAAAATTAAAAAATTTTTTTTTTCAAAAAAAGTAATTTTTTGTCTAATTGTTTGTCAAAAATCTTATTTTTTCGAAGTAAATTTTTTTCAAAAATGTTAATCGTTTTAAAAAAATAATAATTTTTGGTACGGGAAGTTCCAGCAATTTGCCTTAAGGCACGATGCCTTAATTGCCTTAAGACAGAATTCCTTACAGCTAGTATAAGTTTATTTCAAAATAGTTTTTGCTTATCATCAAAAACTAT